ACACACACACACACACGTTTATTTTAGTGCTTGAACTCAGGGCCTGGATGCTTTCCCTGAACTTTTTTTTTTGGGGGTCCGGTCATGGGGCCAACTCTGGGCCTGGGCGCTGTGCCTCAGCTCTTCAGCTCAACGCTAGCACGCTACCACTTGAGCCACAGCGCCACTTCAGGCTTTTTTTTTTTCTTTTTGCTTATGTGGTGCTGAGAAATCGAACCCAGGGCCTCATGCATGCAAGGCAAGCACTCTACCACTGAGCCACCTTCCCAGCCCCTGTCCCTGAACTTTTTTGCTCAAAGCTAGCACTCAACCACTTGAGCCACAGCTCCAATTCTGGCTTTTTTTGGGTAGTTAGTTGGAAATAAAAGTCTCACAGACTTTCCTGCCTAGGCTGGCTCCAAACTGTAATCCTCAGACCTCAGCCTCCTTAGTAACTAGGATTATAGGTGGGAGCCACTGGCACCCAGCTTTAGATGTATATTTTCACAAAATAATTAAATTTCACAAACTAAAGTATACTGAGCTGAAAGATAAAAGCAAAGCTTGGGGGACCTAAATGCATTTCCATTATGGCAGTACAAGACCTGTGGCCCTAACTTGGTGGGCAGCCCCTTTTCTGGGGCTCCCTTCACCCCCAACACCCCTCTCCTCTGCCCCCCCCAACCACACCTGCAAACACTCACCTTCTCTTTCTTTCGTCTGTGTTCTTTCTGGGGCTTGTGTTTATCTTTGTTCTTTTTCTGTTTCTCCTTCTGAGGTATCTCAAGTTTCTGACGTGCATCTGAAAAGCAAATGTGATAAACATGTGGCCCAATTATAAAAACAGGAATGTTTCATCCTGGGTTCAACTCCTACCTGGCTGATAAACCAAAAAGCTGACTAAAACATTCCATAGTGCTTTACTTCGGAAAACACTAGAAACCTTACCGTCAGACCTGTGCTACCCAGACCTGGGCTGCCCTAGGCTTATCTGCCAGAGCAGGTCAGTTTGGATGGTATCAGATCTTCTGGTCTCAACACCAGCTCAGACTTCAAAGCTGAATCTTGTTCACCAGCCAAGGTCACATGATTAATCGCTCCAGACCTCATTTGCATAGCTATGAGATTCCTTTTGTTCTTGGAGACATACAGGATGGACCTGGGACCAGGCACAGTTCTACAACCCAGAGTCTGGAATATGTCACCTCTTCTGTGTATCTTTGTCTCTTTACAAAAAAAACTTTTTTCCCCCCAAGAATTTGTCTTTTTGGGGCTGGGAATGTAGCTCAGTGGTAGAGTGCTTGCCTTGCATGCATGAGGCCCTGGGTTCAACTCCTCAGCACTACATAAGCAGAAAAAAGCCACAAGTGGCACTGTGGCTCAAGCAGTAGAGTGCTGGCCTTGAGCTGAAGAGCTGAGGGACAGTGCCCAGGCTCACAGAGTTCAAGCTCCATGACCAACAACAACAAAAGACTTTATTTTTGTTGTTGTTGTTGTTGTGAGACCTGAACTCTGAGCCTGAGCGCTGTCCCTCAGCTCTTCAGCTCAAGACCAGTGCTCTATTGCTTGAGCCACAACACCTCTTCGGGTTTTCTGAATGGCTTATTGGAGATAAGAGTCTCTCGGCCTTTCTTACTCAGGCTGGCTTTGAAATGCGATCCTCAGATCTCAGCCTCCTGAGTAGCTAGGATTACAGGCTGTAAGCCACTGGTACCAGGCAATGTCTTTTCTTTCTTTTTTTTAAAGAAATCGAAAGAATATAATGTGCCAGGTGCTGGTGACTAACACCTGTTATCCTAGCTGCTCAGGAGGCTGAGATCTAACAATTGAGATTCAAAGCCAGCCCGTGCAGAAAAATCTCTGAGATTCTTTTTTTTTTCTTTTTGGGTCAGGTGGTGGGGCCTAAACTCTGAGCCTGGGCGCTGTCCCTCAGCTCTTCAGCTCAAGGCTAGCACTCTACCACTTGAGCCACAGAGCCACTTCCGGCTTTTTTCTTTTTGCT